GCCTCGGGGACCCCCCGCTACCCAGGCCCGAAGTCGGGCGGACAAGCCGGTGCTGGGTGAGGGGCGGGGCGCGCGCCAGGACGGCTCTGGCGGGTTGGCGGGCTGGGGGAGGGGCATCTTGGAGCCCGGCAGGGTCCGGAAAGCTGAAGGCCGGTCTGGCCCAGAGGCTCAAAGGACTCCCTAGGCTGGGAGCAGCGGACTGAAGTGGGTTCCCCTGGTGGGAAATCCTGCCGTATCTTTCTGGGCGGTAGGGTATGGTGGGCAGGCCCAGTTAGTGTCTGGCCACGCCCCGGGGGCGGGAGACAGCCTTGCTGACTCGGGTTAGTACTCCGTAAATCTCTGAGCCCGGCAGGAAGGTGCACTAGGGACCCTTACATTGGGAGGGCTAGAAAGATCCTCAGTTATGACTTGAGGGCGGAACTTCGTGGACCAGGTGAGTACCTGGTTCTAGGTGAAGGGCCTGGATTTGTAGGATATGAGGAACATGCCTTAGAATCGAAGAGTTTTCAAAGCCTGAGCCTCGCTCTGTGGGCGCTTCCATTTAGTGGAACTTAAGAATGCCTTGAAGCTACTGGGTGAAACCTGGTTGGCGTGAGTTAAGCTTAATAGGTAACAGGGAGGTAGGTTAGATTTTTGGAGTGTCTCAAAGCTGAGTGCAGCTCCATCTCTTCCCCCATCTTACTGCCCCCACTGCATCTTTGCCTGGCAGCAATCCAAGTCCTGGGCACTGTCAAATGGTTCAACGTGCGGAATGGTTACGGATTCATCAACAGGTATCTGAGGAACCCAGGGAGGGGGTGGAATGGGTCTCTTCCAAAGTGGCCTGTAAGACTGGACATCTTCCCAACCTCATCTCTATCCCTACCAAGGCACATGGTTGCAGTGTCCAGCTGACACTGATTGTAAGTCTTTAACCACAGCACAGATGTGGGCAAGATGAAGCCTCCTCCACATCTTCAAGGGCAGCAGAGGGTTAATGATCTAGGAAGTTGACAAACCTGGCTCAGCTTGTCTGTGTCACCTGGTTTAGTTTGCCACCACCTTTGGGGCAGAATGTACCTGCTCTCCGTGCCTCTGGGCTGGAATCCTCACTAATTTCCTGTTTCGGGCAGCACACATAGTATTCCCATAACTCATAAGGGAGCTTAGAGAGCTGTTAGCTCATTGAATCCCCCACCTGATGGAACTGAGTCCGGTGGGGGTTGGGGGAGGAAAGCACCAGCCCAGCCTGCGGATGCTGCTTTCCTTCAGTTAGGCAGCCCCGCTCCTTCTGGCACTGGGAGGGGCTGTGGTGGCAGATTCTGGGATTCTGAGCTGAGGTCTCCCCCAGTGGGCCCTTCCGCAGCCCAGGCACCCTGCCCAGCCCAGCCCTCCTGGGAGGCCCTGGTTCCCTCTTAGCAGGCTGACCTTTGTGCAGATCCAAGTGCTTTAAAGCTAGAACACTTGTTCTAGGGAATGGTCCCTCTCTAATTCTGGAAACTGAAGACTCCTGGGGAGTTCTGAAGGAAAACCTCTCCATCCCCCCCCCATTGGGGTGCTAGGATAAACTGGAGTGATGGGCAAGGTGGTGACAGAATGATTGAACAATCGCTCACCCTTGATCTTTTGGTGTGCTGAGAGGGGGCCTGACCCTGGGGTTAACCTCCAGGCTGAAAATAAAGTTTTGTGGCTATTTGGAGCCAGTTCTTAACATGTCCCCTCCTCAAACTTGTTCTGCACTTCTACCCCTGTCCCTACTTTTCTTCCTCCTTGACTGTAGAAGAAAGGAAACAGGGTGGAATTTTCCACCCGTGATGTGGGTTGGGGAAGCGGGGTTGCTGGCTAGGGACAGTTACACCCAGCACTACCCGGTTCTAAGGTGTCCCGGGGTCGAAGGTGGCGTGCTCAGCAGGTAAAAGCTGGCCCAGCTCCTTCAAGGTGCCTTTGCCTCCCCCTGCTCTGCCTTTTCCTGATGAAGCCCAGGTTTTTCATGGAGGCTTAGGAATATTCTTTTCACCCCATCTTCGGGGGGGCCCAGTCTAACCTCAAGTAGCCACATAAGGTGGAGAGGATGGGCCCTTGGAGCTTAGGAATGGGCAGCTTGAGAGGCTTCAGTGGAGGTGAGCGCCTCATCAAAGTCACCCCTAACAACCCATCCTGTTCTGCAGGAATGACACCAAGGAGGATGTCTTTGTTCACCAGGTAAGAGCTAGGTTGGCTTTCCAAGGGCAGGAACCCACCCTCTTTGGCCTTCATTATTCTGAGCAGCATAGATCATGTTTCTCCAGCTTTTACCTGGAAGCAGCATGCCCCCCAGGAAATAGTTTCCCCCTCCATCTGCCCCAGGTGCCTGTATTCACTGCATTGGCCCCACTTGTGCTGGGTTGTCTGCAAGAAATGTACTTGTTGCCCCTTGGGCATCACATGCCAGGACCTGTTAACACCCTGGGAATTAATCACAGACGGTGTCCGTGGGAAGGGACGCAGGCCAGCGCTACTTGGATGCACTAGTTCTCAAAGTGTGGTCCCTGCACCAGCAGCATCACCTGCCAGCCAAATTCTCAGGCCTACCTCAGACCTAGCCAATCAACCTGGCCTGGCGGAGCGGCCAGCAGTTTGTATTAATGAGCTCTCCAGGTGATTCTGATGCACACACAGTTTGAGAACCACTGCTTTGGTGGAAAGCGCTTTCAGTGGGATTGAGGTAAGAATAGTATGTTTTACCCACTTTGCAACTTAAGACTATCT